GGGGGGCGTTGACTCCTGATTCTGCCATTCACTAACTGTGTGACCATAGCAAGTTAGGCAACCTTTCTATGCCTTAGTTTCTTACTGGTAAAATGGGGATAATAGTACCTAACATTGGGTTTCCAAATCTCTCAAATTTTTTTCTATAGGTCTATCATCTCTCTACTGACTTTTTTAAAAAAATGTTTATTTTTGAGAGGCAGACAGAGTACAAAGGGGTGAGGGCAGAAAGAGAGAGGGAGACACAGAATCTGAAGCAGGCTTTAGGCTCTGAACTGTCTGCATGGAGCCCGATGTGGGGCTCGATCTCACGAACTGTGAGATCATCACTTGAGCTGAAGTCAGACACTTAACTGACTGAGCCACCCAGGTGCCCGATTTTTTTCTTCTTAATTTAAGATCTAAGACCCAATGTGGGGACTTAAACTCATGACCCTGAGATCAACAGTCACATGCTGCACCGAAGGAGCTAGCCAGGCACCTCATATTTAGTATCTTTTTAAGCCGTTTGTTAATTCTTATCTTCTGTGTTTTGTTATTGCTAATCTGGTTTTAAACTCAGTCAACTCTCTCATTTCGTTTTCCATCCCCTGCTGTCTTTTTATGTCTGTGTATAGTAATTTTTTCTTTTGAAAATTTCCTTTTTCTGTAATAACTCTCCCTTGCAGTTGTAATTATCTACATGGACCACAGGAGGAATTCCTTTATCTCTGTATAGGGAGCGATCCCCTCAGGGTGTGTGTGTGCTATGTGCTCAAGAGGGTAGGTGGTATTACCTTAGAGGGGTTTCTCTGGCAGCCACACCTTGCCCTTCACCTTTAAGTGTAGGGTTCCAGATGGTTGGTTAAATCTGTTCAATCTTTCAACTGCCTGGGTAAAAAGGGGATGCTCTGGAGAAGCCTCAAAATATTCTAGTGTATAGTGTCTGGTTCCTTTAGCAGTGCAATACTGGAGGCACTTTTAGGATGTTTCTAAACATCCTGTTGGACGTTTCAATAGTATAAATTACGTTACTGTGAATATTTCTACGCAACTGTACATTACTTTGTATTTCTAGAAATGTAACAACTGGATTTAAGGTAATGAAAAAAACATTTAAATTCTTACCAACAGCATATTCCAGAACCATGTTACCATACAGTCATTAACACCCACTCTAACCTTTAGAGACGCCAAAAGGTCACATTGATTTTACTTGTTCTTTCCTTTTCCCATTTTTCATCTTTCCCCCCAAGTCATATACTAAGGAAATTATACCTTTAACACTGAAAATACTTTCCTTGGTTTGTCTATTAATTACACTTATGGTATCTTCTGTTGTCATTTTTTTCCCTCAAAACTTCTAGGCAGTATCTAAAGACGTTTCTTGTTTTATTTTATATTTTCTTCTATACATTCTGTGTACTACTTTCAATTTTTAGCTTAAAATTTAAAACTTCTCATTCTTCTACAATTTGCATATGGGATAGGGTGGGGATCTCATTCTACAAAAGGCCAGATTTAGTATAAGCTAAAGGTCAACATATCCTTAGGGCTATTCAGTTCCATTAACATTGGTTCCTGCCTGCACCCCTACCACACTGCTTCCACCCCCACGAGACTACAATTTAGTATCTGTAGATGTTAAACTTGGCTCCAATTTCTCCAGACAAAAACTACCAGAAAACGAACTCCAGAAAGCTCTACTGCACCCAAGTCCCACCTGTCTCTATACCTTAGGTGCTGTCCTGGTTTAGACCATCAGCACTGAATCCACTCTTGACTTTCTTGTTTTTGAACAACTGCTCTCCTACCTACTCAAAACACAGCTGCTTTTCCTTTGTCAGTGGGCCTCCTTGTACACTCTTTCTCTGCCAGAAATGTTGTTCCTCTTCTCAATTCTTCTCCCACCATGGCCCAATGAGAACACTGCAGTTAACAAACGGAGCTGCTAAAGGCAAGTGGCAACTAGCAGTTCTCCATTTTACTACTTTGAGGCCTGAGGGAGATGAATTTTGAGCCCACCAAAAATCCTGGCATGAGTTGGTACCTATTCACTCAGCTGGCACTATCTACAGGTAATCGGCTTTCCCTGACTCAAGATATACAGAATTTCTGCTATCATAGTCTTTCTCACATCATTTAATATAGCCTGTGTTCTTCCTCATCACTGTGTACCTAACTCCTTATGTCACTGCTTGAAACCTTGTCATCAGTCAGTGAATAAGGCAATGCAGAATCATCTTGGCTATCTGGTTAATTCACTAAGTTGAGAAGGCTGCTATACCAGAATACTAAAACTGTCAAGATGAATTTTTATTTTTATTTTTTATTTATTAATTTTTTTTAAATGTTTATTCATTTTTGAGAGACACAGCATAAGCAGGGGAGGGGCAGTGAGAGTGAGAGAGAGAGAGAGAGAGAGAGAGAGAGAGAGAGAGAGAGACACACACACACAGAATCTAAAGCAGGCTCCAGGCTCTGAGCTGTCAGCACAGAGCCTGACACGGGGCTCGAACCCACAAACTGTGAGATCATGACCTGAGCTGAAGTCGGACACTCAACCGACTGAGCCACCCAGGCGCCCCTCAAGATGAATTTTTAAATTTTTTTTTTTCAACGTTTATTTATTTTTGGGACAGAGAGAGACAGAGCATGAACGGGGGAGGGGCAGAGAGAGAGGGAGACACAGAATCAGAAACAAGCTCCAGGCTCCGAGCCATCAGCCCAGAGCCCGACGCGGGGCTCGAACTCACGGACCGCGAGATCGTGACCTGGCTGAAGTCGGACGCTTAACCGACTGCGCCACCCAGGCGCCCCTCAAGATGAATTTTTAAATGCTTCTAGGGGCGGCACCCGGGTGGCTCAGTCGGTTAAGCATCTGACTTCAGCTCAGGTCATGATCTTGCGGTTCATGAGTCTGAGCCCTGCATCAGGCTCTGTGCTTACAGCTCAGAGCTTGTAGCCTGCTGTGGACTCTGTGTCTCCCTTTCCCTCTGCCCCTGCCCTGTTGACACTCTGTCTCTCAAATATTAACAAAAATTAACTGCTTCTGAAAAACAGTTCTTAGCCTTCAAACATATTGTATCAAGAAGAAAGCGTGACAATGTTAAGAAACACAGTGTTGATAATTTGTTTAGGATGTATGAAAGCTGGTAGGGCCTCTGAACCTGTTCAGCACTGGCTGCCTACCAAATATAAGTCCATATAAGCCTGTAGGCTACCATTTTCTAGGTGTTCACTCAGAGAGAAGAGTATCTTAGGCTTCTAAAAATGATGCCAGATGATCAAAACACGTTAAGCACTGTGACCAGAAATCTTAAACATACTGCTTAATTACTGCTCTTATGAAGGGTTGAATTATTTTCTTTGCAAAGGCAAAAAAGGGTCATTCAAAAACTCTAGAAAAGTTATGCAAGCTAATGCAAATTAGTGACTTTGGCTAGAAAACATTTTATTACCATTTTCTTCCCCAAAACAGCTATAATGAAAAGCACTTACTGGAAGTCATTCCTGGTTGTGGCTGCCCCATATTAGGCCCTGGATTCATAGAAACTGGTACCATGCCTGCAGCACTTGGTAGCATGTTTTGTTTCTGTAGTCTAGTCCTTCGTTTTTCTTCTAGTTCTTTCTGGATCTTATAGATTTTCTCAGCTAGCAGGTGGTAGTATTCGGCCTTTTTGAATTTTGAAAATAAAACACAGATAAGGAAAAAAGAGGAATTACTATTAGGTAACAGAAAAAATGAACAGATATTAGCTTCATTTACAGATATAAGGAGAAACCCAAAGAGGGGAAAAGTCTATTCTCCTTTTAAAAGTTTTTATTTTAATTCCAGTTAGTTAATATACAGTGTTATATTAATTTCAAGTGTACAATGTAGTGATCCAATACTTCATATGTCACCTGGTGCTCATCACAAGTGCATACCTTAGTCCGCAACATCTATTTCACCCATCCTCCCCACCCCCGCCTCTCCTCTGATATAACCACCATAAAAATCTGCTTTCTTAGATCATCCCAGATGTGAGTTCATGTTTGGAATCATCATGTGAAAAGCAGCTTTGTGATGAAGCTACATAGTAAAGCATGACCTCTCAAAGTAGGTTAATGAAATATATGCTGGCGATTTATGGCACATGCAAAGAATATGCTACATTTCGGAAAAGTGCCAACTTAGAGAAGAATGTTCAACTGATATAGAGAAAATGGAATACTACTTGAGATGAACATACTAAGCAGCTGATTCACCATTATTCTAGTGAAAATAGCAGAGAGCTGGTAACAGCTCAACCACTTTTGAAGTTGACAGAAGGACAACCCAGATAAAGTGCCACACGAGTACACTGGATTATTAAGAGGAAAAACGTAAGATTCTTGATGACATACGCCTGAAGAAAATTGCTTTGTTATCTTGACTGTGCAGTGAAACTAAGGACAGCTGAAGGGTATCCTCTAAAGTACGGTATTGTTTGTACATGTTACGAAAAGAAACAAACAACTAGGATAGGTCTATTTCTGACTTTATGTAGAAAAATAGATACTCACCCGATTATTTGCAGATTCGTACATGTCTCCTTCCACTTTCCGGGCATATGCAACCAAGTTTTCCATCCGTCTGTCTTTTAAAGCAGCAGGATCCGGAGTAGGAAATATGGCTTGAACTCTGGAAACAGAAAATTCTACCACTATTATATCATGTCAACTTTTCATTCTCGTCATGGAAATGTCCAGTACTTTAAACTTTTTCCTGGTTAGTACTTTCTCATTTCTGTGCAATGTACACATTATGTAAAACAAAAAATAGTGGATGTGCTCAAATATTAAATGATACAGAGCAAATGAAATGGTCTCTGTGGTAAACAAAGGGTCTCCCCAATCAGAACATAAAAAAATGACACCATAATAACCCCCTCTGGTTCCTGTCACGCTAACATAGGAGCAAAAAAAATTATACTCTGCTATTTGCATAAAGAAGTGAGGAAACCTGACCTTTCTCATTGTTTTAAGTAGAGCGGCCTTCAGATCCTTCTACTCTCAATTTATTCAGCTTAATAAAACCTAATAATCACCACAAAATCTTTCAAGACCAAAAACTTCAAGTGGAAGGGGCAGAAATGCATAACGATTCTGCCAAATTCAGTGTCTTTTACTTTCTAACAGTTCCCTACAAAATGTTTGGCACTAGGGTTCCTGAAGATTTGACCAATACTTTTCCAGCCTCTAATTTTATTAATTGGAGATTTCGTGTTCACTTGTGCAGGACTTGAAGAAAACCAGGTGGGGAAGAAATAAATGGAAGTTTAGAAGAATATTTTGAGTTGGTAAAAATTTCGCAAGCATATAATGTCAAGTCAGATGATCGATCCCAAATAATCCATTGTCTGCTATGAGAGAACAGGTGCTAAACAACTGGAGTATCACAAAATAAGTTTGCTTTGCTTATTCCTTTTTAATTCATTTAATTAAAATCTTAGGGTTTTCTTGTCAAATTCCACTTCTGGTACCATTGATTTTGAATTTCTAAACGAAAGTCAAATGTAACTGGTATGCTAATGTAATATAAAAATTAGTTTAGATAAAAAATAGACCACACAGCTCTAAGCCAATAAAAAATATGGATGGACTGAAAGAGACCCTTCTTTTAAGTGGAGAAAAAAATGAAAAAAGACTGCTTTCCCCGAGGAGAAAAATGCTGGATGTCACTCAAAGTGCAAGTTCCATAGCAATGAGCAAGGTTCAAGCTCTGTTTTTTTTATAATATTGCGCACATTACATTTTACTGCTATCGCTTTCCCCTCCTTCACCTGCCAAGACCTCTTTAAAGAAGAGGGTGGCTGAATGGCTGGCATCCATCAACTCCATAACAAACAATGCAGAGGTATCTCACCAACTACTGACATGCACATCCGGAGGGCCAGAAGACCATAGAGGAGCCACTCTACCAGGTTAAACTTGTCAACATCATAAAAGCTTTAATAGGGATAAAGGAAAAGAGTGTTGCCACCACCATATTCTAAAGAGCTGAGAGAGACCTGGTTTTCCTTTTAAAATTTGACTTTTGCAAAGGCAGTGACACTAAAATGAGTAATTTTTATATAATATATTGAAAACTGCCACTAGGTAAAATAGTTCACACACTGTTAAAGCCATAATACTCCTACAAACGATGGTGGAAAGGCTCAGAAGCAGAACAAGCAGCAAGACAGTCACAGGAGCAGAAGCATTAGCAGCAATAGCCAGACTACAGAAAAATCAATAATACTCCTCTTGTGGTTAAGTGCCTGGCAGATCGGTACCATGTTGACATGGTAACTCTCTATGAATAAGACATGCCTATAATCTTACAGTTTGTGAACAAGATGATTTCGAAGATCCTGAGTAATATCTTCATGCCACTGTTTCCGAATTCCAGTATTAGATGGTTGAGCTGCTGTTGGCATAGGACCTAGGGAGGCCACACTGGCATTTTCACTCATCATTGGGCTTTAAAAAGATATTGTGAAATAGTTTTAGTGAAGAAGGCAGGAGAAAAAAAGATCTCATTTAAAGCAGAGCTGACAGTGATTACTACAATGGGTCCAACATACTATGACAAATTTCTTTACATCAAGAAATCTAGGGGAAATTGTGTGTGTGTGTGTGTGTGTGTGTGTGTGTGTGTGTGTGTGTGTGTTTGTATTTGTATGAGGCAGAGTTAACCCACAACACTTCATCATGTGGAGGGGAGGAGGAAGTCTTGGGTTTAGAAGACTTACGTGTTATGTTGTAAGACTAAACTTATTTTGACACAGCTTATCCCAGGGAATCACTGGTAATGGATTAATTCTTACCAATGGGATAGAGCAAACTCATTTTTTAAGCAATTGCACACTTGCAACTTCCTACTATATTCGGGGAAGGTACTGATCACCCATTGATACAATTTCACATAAGATTGTAGAAAGCCAAAAGTATGGCCTCCAATATACTACTTGTCTTTATCCATCAAGGATGGCTTCAAATCAGGGGGAAAAAACAAAAACAAAAACAAAAAACAGAAAAGGAATTTGAACAGGAGTATGAAACATGACACAGAGCAAATATCAAGAAAAAAACTTACTTTTGAGAATTTATGGCTGAATGCAACATTGAGTCAGAAAGAAGATTCGATGTTTGAACCCCTACACCTCCATTTACTCCCATAGGACTAGCACCTAGGACAAAACAAAAAACGAGATTGAATATTTTAAATACCAATACCAAAAAGAAAGAAAAGCTATAAAAGTACTAGAATAACATCACAAGAAATTTGTATCCTTTCAAAGACCCAAAACCCAGAAGCCATAAGGACAAGATTTAGAAACTGGATGAGCAAAACCTAAAACCGCAACCGTTTAAGTAACTATATATGCACATGTCCTTTCTTAAGCACAACTTACGCGAGGACATAGGGAACCTAAGTGTGATGATCCCTGGAGACTGGAATCAAAGACTGTGTTTTGGTAAAACATTTTGAATACTCCTTCAAACTGCCCTGAATAGTTTTATGTGCGTACATTACCTCTTCAATTAGCAATTTTATTGAATAGTCTAATTCTTTAAAAACAAAAAACAGCAATATTGACACTAACCTAGATTTTCATGCAGTTAAAAAACTCTTCTAAAATACACAATTCTATTAATATACCTCTCAAGGTATGTTAGTTAAAAACAAGGAAACAAACAAAACTTCCCACTAAAATGCCAACAGTTGGCTAGATCTATAAACATTTAATGGAGAAAAATGCTGTTGCTTTCCTTCACGTTTCCTAAATAGTAAGGCACAAATTTGCTTCTGACAGCATCAGCCTAGCTCTGAAATGTAGTTACTGGAAATGGTCTTCTAAAAACAGAATTGTATTGTTCCTAATTCTGTATTTGTCAACGTAAATACTCCATGTGTAAACACTCCTTTTTAGCGAAACTATATACCTATAACATTGATTCGCTTTACTGATGGCAACCATATGAAGAAGTGAAAGAAAAACTGATTATAATGTACACCAATTTGCTTATCTCGTTGCCTTCTGATGGCACATGAAAACAGCAAAACATTCTCTCTGAAGTCTCCAGGTTCATCTAATATTTGGCATTGACTCTAAGAAATGGCTCAACCATAACCTGAAAAGGAATACCCTTACACCGGCCTGTATTTAAGATCCTAAGAGGGAGCATTCCCTTGAGAATACAAAAAATGACGGAAGTCAGAAATTATTGGCACTGCCAGAGAAGAAGTCAGAAAGAAAAAAAAGGAATCATTAACACCTAAAACTCATCAAGAATACATTTTTGGGGGTGCCTGGATGGCTCAAGTCAGTTAAGTGTCCGACTCTTGATTTTGGCTCAGGTCATGATCTCATGGTTCGTGAGTTCAAATCCCACGAGCCCGGGAGTCTGTGCTAAAGGCACAGAGACTGCTTGGGATTTTCTCCCTGCCCTCCCCTGCCACTCTTAAAATAAACAAACAAACTTAGGGGAAAAAACACGTGTTTTTTGTTTTCTAAGCCCTAGGAGGAATCTCATACTAATAAGACCTTTATAGAGTAGGTGAATTCAGTAGGTACTAGAAGATTAAGAACATGGTCAAATACAGTCAAGGAAGTCTTACAGTAAAAAATTCTAATTTAGGGCTCCAGAAAGGATTCTCTCTTCTTGCTACAGAATCTCTATAACCTGATATATGTTAACAGATCCTGTAGTTCTGTCTACTTAATGCCCATCCAAACTAGAGAGGTCTCAAAGTAGAGGCCATGCCCCTTTCCTATGCCCACCCCCGCCCCCAGCACATGGCATATCTGAATGAATGCTATTTCTCATTTATTCAAATATCCGCATCAAAGTACCTCCAATTTATAACTGAGAACGTTCCAGCATTACAGCTAGGTCTGCCACAATGGGTGTTGTATCCATACTACCAAGTTGTTACTATGAATGGGTCTTGGTATGCTTATAAGCATTAGTATAAATGTTTGCTTAGGGTACTTCATCCTATTCAGTACTCCACACCTCAGGTAAAGATGGTATGATACAGACCCATAAACATAAATACTACTTTTTCTAAACATCCAACAACCTGGGAAAACAAACTAGCACTCATATCTACCAAACAGGTGAGATATGAGACCTTCAGAAGAGAGTACATAACAAAACCCAGGAGTTCTTGACAGTAATAGGGCCAGAATTTCCATAACACAGTTGAAAGATAGCTAACCAATAATGTGAAGGTCAGTAATAAAACAAGAGAATAGGCCAGCTAAAGGCAAATAAAAAATCCTAAGACATTTTTATGCTGAAATTATTAAAGCCTGATCACATACACACAACCATACATGGCATATTCATTCCAAGAGTGTTTAATCTGGATTTAATTATAAGGATCGCTTCTCAGCCTTTTGGCTAAGATCAAGTGTGGATTTAATTATAAGGAAACAATCAGACTAATTCAAATTATAGGACAATCTACAGTGTTCATCGAAAGTCAATGTGTGGTGAACAAAGAGAAGGAAGATGACTTCTAGATTAAGAGACAAAAAGCACGTAACAAACTGAATGGAAAAGCCCTGAATGACTGTGGGGGACAATTGGAGAAATTAAAATATAGACTGTACATTAGATGACATTATTAACAAATATTAAATTGTGTAGGCACAGTAACAGCACTGTGGTTATGGAGAAGAATGTCCTTATTCTTAGGAAATACATGCTAAACTAGCAGTCAAGTGTCAGGATATCTCGAGTACATGAAGAAATAAAGCAAATGTGGCAAAAATGTTGAAAATAAATAAATCTAGGTAAAAGGTATGCATAATGAACCAGAATCAAGACTTGGATTTCAACCAACTGAGCCACCCAGGCATGCCACAAAAAGTGTTATTATGTTCCAAATTTCCTGACGAAGTTTTCCCCTCAATTTCTAATTATATATCCAATCTGCCCTCTTGGTAGGATCCCCAACAATACTTTAGCATTAAAATAATATGGGTGAGGGCGCCTGGGTGGCTCAGTCAGTTAAGTGTCCAACTCTTGGTTTCGGCTAAGGTCATGATCTCGCTCACAGTTTCGTGGGTTCAAGCCCTGCAATGGGCTCTACACTGGCAGCATGGAGCCCGTTTGGGATTCTCTCTGCCCCTCCCCACTCATGCTCTGTCTCTCTCAAAAATAAATAAACAGGGGTGCCTGGGTGGCTCTGTGAAGCGTCTGACTTCAGCTTAGGTCATAATCTCACAGTTCATGGGATGGAGCCTGATGCGGGGCTCCATGCTAATGGCATGGAGCATAGAACTTGCTTCAGATTCTGTGTCTCCCTCTCTCTCTGCCCCTCTCTTGCTTGTGCTCTCTTTTGAAAATAAATAAATGAACTTACTTAAAGTTCATTTAGATAAATGAAAATAAATAAATGAACTTAAAAAAAAAAGTATGTGTGTATATATATATATGTGTGTATGTATATATATATATGTATATACACGTTTGTGTGTGCATATATATATATATATACACGCACACACACAGCACTAACCATTTGGGAGTCCAATCTTTGCAAAACATAAAAGATAAACATTTTACGTTGCTGAGTACATGGAAATATACTCAAGTAAATTGCTTTTGTTTATAAATGTGATAAAAATCTTACACTGTTAGGGGACACAACATAGTCCCGTTTGTGGATATAGTCTACCACATCAGGTTGGAACCTAAAATATCCTAAAATAAACACCATTAGTGGAAGAAAACAGAAGTGAAAAAAGCTTGTTTTAGTATTTTAAAATCATGACACATCAAAAATTAAGAAAATACAGTTAACGCTAATTTGAGTATTGAACCATGTATTTCTTTGATAATATGGCACTAGGCTAAGGCCAAGATGCAACTTGAGTTACATTTCTGATCATCATCAAAATTTTTATATTCCTAAGTAAAATCCATTATAAAACTCTAATAATAACAGAAGCCTTAAAGGATCACTTTAAATACCCAATAAAACAATTTATAGTAATAACCTTTAGTGCAAACATCACTCACAAGTATAAAGTTTGGTTAAAACTAATTTCATACGATTTTGGTGTGAAGTGAAAAAGCAGTCCCACATTCATAATATGCAATAAAATACTTTTTTAAAACTCTCTTAAAGACTGGGGAGAAAATTACATGTCCTAATCATGGTGATTCCATTTTGATATTCAGTTCTTTTACTCTCTAAGTTTTAGGGAACTAAAAAATATGAAAACAGAGGGTGCACCCTTCAACATAAACACACAAGATTATTAAAAAAAAAAAAATTTTAGTGTTTATTTTTGAGAAAAAGAGAGAGAGAAGAGAGAGAGAGAGAGAGCAAGGGAGGGGCAGAGAGAGAGGGGGAGACACAGAATCCGAAGCAGGCTCCAGGCTCTGAGCTGTCAGCACAGACCCTGATGCGGGGTTGAACCCACAAACTGTGAGATTATGACCTGAGCTGAAGTCGGATGCTTAACCGACTGAGCCACTCAGGCACCCCACAAGATTATTTTTAAAAGGGCTTTTATATATGGGGCGCCTGGGTGGCTTGGTAGGTTAAGCATCCAACTTGATTGACTGATTTCAGCTCAAGTCATGATCTCACGGTTTGTGAGTTTGTGCTCCATACTGGGCTCTGTGCTGACAGTGCAGAGGTGGCTTGGGATTCTCTAATTTCCTATATCCCTCTGTCTCTCTGCCTCTACCCTACTGATGGGCGCTCGCTTGCTTGCTCTTTCAAAAATAAATAAAAAATAAATAAAAATAACATAAATAAAAGGGCTTTCATATGAAAGAAAAAACACTTCATATGTAAGTCTTTGCCTATCTGGGTTGGGCCTGATGAATAGAAAGCATGAGGCTATATATAACATGCCAGAAAGAGAGTGTATTCATATTAGTTTTTAATATGGGATTGAATACAACAAAAGAAATAAATGAGGTATCTAGAAGTTTTGGTTCACAATGATTATCACTAAAAAGGCACCACTGATTGAATTAACAAGAAATAAATGGAAACTTTAGATTAATTTTTAATCCTAAAATAAAGACACTAAAAAAAGGGAAAAAGATATCTCAAGGAACTAACTTTTAAACAATTTTGTGGCTATATACAAATGTACATACACAGATGATACAAAGGAGACAAAAAGAACAAAATTAGGAATTAAAACAGAAGTTTGAAAAATTAACAGGAAATAACCAGTTACAAAAATGAAAATCCAGGCCAGGCAGTAGAAAATCCAGGGGCAGAAAACTGCACTGGGTCAAGATCCTAAAACTCAAGGAAGAGTCTGGGTAACTTTTTGGGTAACACGGAAAGAGAGAAGAAAATAAGCAATCTTAAGTAAAAAAAAGGTGAAGGGGCAGGGGAAGGAAGTCCTCAGATCTCTATTTTTGACCCCTTTTCATGTACTTGAATACGTAAGAATTTGAAAACTAGCCTGAAAGGGTAGGATTAGCTCTTCATCCCAGTTTCTGGTCTAGTTTTTTGTTTTTGTTTTTTTTTTTCAACGTTTTTTATTTATTTTTGGGACAGAGAGAGACAGAGCATGAACGGGGGAAGGGCAGAGAGGGAGGGAGACACAGAATCGGAAACAGGCTCCAGGCTCCGAGCCATCAGCCCAGAGCCTGACGCGGGGCTCGAACTCACGGACCGCGAGATCGTGACCTGGCTGAAGTCCGACGCTTAACCGACTGCGCCACCCAGGCGCCCCTGGTCTAGTTTTTTAATAATCTCCTCACTTAATGATTATTTAACAAGTTAGCACTGCTTGTCAAGAAACTGTAATACATTCAAGTTAAAACCAACAAAAATCAACAAGATTACATTTCTGTAAGAGTAGCATGCTCAATTTTGCTTTCTCATTTAGAATCAAACAATAATGGGCAGAAACTAAAGGCTATTGCAAATATTATCCAGAGGATGACAATGGACTTCATAGGAAAAAGTATGATGCATTACTCAGTACCAGACTGTTTTCTAGAAAGTTATGGAAGAAATCATCAACAAGGACAAGCAGCTGCCTCTGGTATATAGATTATGATGAGACCTTTACACTACAATCTTTAAAAAATTACTCTAAGAAATTAATCATGTAACAAAAAAATTAAGAGATGGGGAGACACACACACACACACACACACACACACACACACACACACACAGACCAAAATAAACCAAGAAGATAATTCTGCAAATTACATGGCATGTATACACATAACCAACATCACATCTGTCACAAGGGAAGACACAAACTTACTCATGTTGCTCATGGGCCGCATGCCTTGGGGAGACTGGCCAGACTGCTGAGTCTGCTGGTTCTTTGCTTGCACCTGGGGTTGCGTCGGCATCTGATTTACTTGATAGGGCAGCCCAAGAGCTGCATAGGCCCTTTCTATAGAGCTGGGATCAATCTGACTGACAGTGCTTAGGCTGGGGGTAGACTGCTGACCCACCCCTAGAGAGCTAGTATTTCCAAGTCCAACTGGTGCTCCAGTCAGAATTGCTAGAGAAGACAAAAGAGATGGGATTACAACGTTAAAGATGTGAGAAAAATAGACTAACCTATCTGAATGAATTTAGAAGACACAAAATTGTTACATGATTATGAAACATCTCATTATGAAACAACATGCATCTTGTTTCCTGTTATTTCCCTGAAATAAATGTCTAGATGCAGAACTGAATGGTCAAAGGGGATCACTATCACTGGCATGAAAGGCTTTTGATCCAGAGTACCCAAAAGCCTACCTACAGGTTGTATCAGTGTTCCCACCAACTATGTATGAATGACTCAGAACCATACAAATGCCAATACCAGGTAGCATTTCTGCTCAAGTGGTGAGAATGTCCTCCCTCTACTGACCTATTTCCTTACCCCAATTTTCTACTGGGCTATTTATGATTTCTTAATTAATTTATGGCATTTAATTCCTTCTTCACATGTTGCACGTTTCCAAATCTGTCATTCACCACAAATGCTTAATATTTTGTTTCTAGAGAGGTATGGTAGCTACACTTAGATCTTTCTACTTTTGTCTTTATCTCAGAAAAGCTCATCATCCTAGACTTCTAAAAATAATTTCAAACTTTTTCCCTTTCTCTTTAAATAACTTCAAAGTATCTAAATATTTAGACCACAGGTATAAAAGAGTAACTTGTCCAATGTCAAAGCAATGATCTTTTAAGTTTTCATGAATGTAAAAATGGAGCATTAATTCACCCTTTTTATACAGAATAATTATTTAAAAAGTTTCTGGATCTTACTTTAGGTAATAAGCAGTTCAATCCTAAACTCATTAATATGAAGTTAATGGGAGTGGAAACAACCTAGTATGACAGCACAGGGCAGTCACAGAACTTCAAATAATCAAGAAGCACTTAGTCTAAATCCCACCAAACTGCACCGAGAATAAATAAAATAATAAATAAATAAAATAAGTAATAAATAAATAAAAGCTTTAAAAGACTTAATCACTTACACTGTTGATTTCTCTTATCTCCAGCATTTTTAAGGGGGAGACACACAGGACAATCATGCCTCGTACAATTCTTCCAGTGTGAAATGATTTGTCGAGAAGATGCACAGTGTGCCACTAAAAAGAAAAAAAATAATTGTTCTGCAAATGTAGCTTATACTTTTTTATATCAGTATCCACTAACCTGTTGATCACTTAACAAGTGCTACAAATGTTCACTCATTTCATCTTCCTAACATCCCTATAGGGTAGCTATTGGCACTCACATTTTATAGTTAAGAAAACAGGCAAGACCTGGTTAACTAATTTGCATTAAGTCAGAGTACTCAAAATGGGATTCAAACTTAAGCAATCTGCCTCCAAAGCCCGTATTTTTCACCAAGACATGCAATGTACTTTACTCTATAAAAACAGATTTCTAATGACACCATACACACATAAATTGTATTAAGTTGGGTAACATTGTTTTAGTGTTTGCCTATATGACAGCAAATCCTCAATAATATTTAAACTATGCTATGTGGGGGCAAATCAAAGTCAGTAAGGGTCATCACAAGAGGAAAATCCTTAAAATTTTCTACCATAACCCTACATAATAACAAAATGATACTGAATTTTATCACCTCCTAACATGGACATTATCGGTAAAGAAGTCTCCAAACAGAGTAGAACACACTTTTTTTCTTCTCTCGGACTATAAATATTCATTGCTAAGCACAGAAACCCTCTGAGCCCACTCACCTTGGCAGGACTTGCCTGACTGGCAGTGTGTCATGTGGTTCAGGACGTTCTTCATCGTGCGACAGTGGGGAAGGTTGCACTGCCTTACTTCCCCATTAGCCTGCTCGCGGCGCTGGCACTTGTGGGCGTGCAACAGGAGCACGAGCTGCTGCTGGATGAGCTTGCGCTTCTCTGGATCAGCCGTGTGCGCTCCAGAACCCATCCCTTGGGCTACCGGAGTCACGAGGCCTGGCTGCTGGACCTGTGGGGCCTGCTGTTGACCCTAAGAGAGAAAACAACAAAGGTACATGTAACATTAGGTGTCATAGGGTGCTTTTTAGTAAATACAGACCTGGACATTTTCTTTTTTTTTTTTAATTTTTTTTTTTTTTTAACGTTTATTTTTGAGACAGAGAGAGACAGAGCATGAACGGGGGAGGGTCAGAGAGAGAGGGAGACACAGAATCTGAAACAGGCTCCAGGCTCTGAGCAGTCAGCACAGAGCCCGACGCGGGGCTCGAACTCACGGACCATGAGATCATGACCTGAGCCGAAGTCGGATGCTTAACCGACTGAGCCACCCAGGTGCCCCAGACCTGGACATTTTCAATTAAAACCTTTAAGGACATCCACCACGTGCCACAGGGGATTCCAAGGTAGATAAACATCAGTCCCACCATCAAGAAGTTCAATAACAAAGTTACATCACCAAGTAATATAATCAAAGTATATGTAATATACAGAGAGCAAAACAAAGAGGACACCATAAGCTCAGGTGGGAGAGGGAAAGGCAAGGAATCCATAGTGAAGAGCAAGTCCAAGTCAGGTTCTGAAGCACAGCAACAAAAACCTCCTGGGAGACTGAGCAGGGGCCTTTTAGGTGGGTGAAAAGTTAGTTTCTGTAATTATGGAAGAAAGCGCTTTCTCTTCCCTGATAAAGTAAACATTTCTGGGGTCACAGATGCCATGTTTTATTCTTTTTTAAAAGATCTGCAGTACTTAAAGTATCTGAAATATAGGCAAAAAAATAAGAAACAAAAAATCTGAAAGAGAAATGGAATTTCTATAGGACAATTTTTCCCAAAGGTAAACAGGGACTACTTAACAAATTTACAAGTAGAAACGGTTTTACTTTTAGAAAAATAGCAATGTTAGAAGCTTTGGAGATTTATTCAAAACAAAAATCACTGTTTTTTTTTTTTTTTTTAAACATTTTTATTTCTTATTTTTGAGAGACAGAGACAGACAGAGCATGAGTGGACGAGGGGCAGTGAGAGAGGGAGACACAGAATCTGAAGCCAGGCTCCAGGCTCTGAGCTGTTAGCACAGAGCCCAACGCGGGGCTCGAACTCAGGAAGCTCGAGATCATGACCTGAGCTGAAGTCAGACGCTTAACCCACTGAGCCACCCAGGCGCCCCTGGGGGCTCGAACTCAGGAACCTCGAGATCATGGCCTGAGCTGAAGTCAGATGAACCGACTGACCAACCCAGGCGCCCCCCACAAAATCACTGTTTAAAATAGTGTTTAACTTTGAGAGGGAAATTACTTTTGTGTGCTGATATCAGATACAAATGTGTAGATACGGTCACTGAGAGTTGGAATCCTTTGCTTGAGAGTACTTTCCAAGAGAAGTTCTACTTTCATATTCTATAGAAATACTCACAAGAAGAAGATGTGTAATATGGCAGGCTACAAAATTTTCACTGTAGCAGCCCCACTTGCTCCCATTTGGCCCAACACCCTTACTGAACAATACTACAAGAAATAAAAACCCATGGGAAATGGAAGGTATCAAGCCTCCTTGATCACAGGGTCCATCTTCACATCCTAGTGTGTACAGCAGAAAGCATTACAGTTTAACAGTTCTTTGTCAAAACGCCAGTTTAAAGACAAATTTGTAGACAGATTACTACCCACCATGTTGGGCATTCCTCCACCAGGAACTGCCTTTTTGTCCATTGCAAATGGAGGTAAGCTATTTGGTAGTACAGACTTTGTCTGAATCTGGAGACCAAGGCCACTGGCTCCAATCTGCTGTCCAGAATTCTGAGTGTATGGTGAACCGTAAGGATTAGGGTTGTTCATCATTCCCATCTAAGAATTAAAAAAAAAAAGATGAGAAATTAAATCTTATTCCTTACATTAACGGAACATTACTATTCTCTTTCCTTTTTTTTTTTTTTTTTTAAACGTTTATTTATTTTTGAGAGAGAGAGAGGGAGACACAGAATCAGAAGCAGGTTCCAGGCTCTGAGCTGTCAGCCCAGAGCGCAACGCAGGGCTCGAACCCACGAACTATGAGATCATGACCTGAGCCTCAGTCAGATGCTTAACTGACTGAGCCACCGAGGTGCCCCTCTTTCCTTTTCCACTTCCTAATTTATAAAAACAATTTTAAAGGAAATCCTCTACCATTATAAATAAGACTAGAGAAGTATGTTCATGAAAATACTTTCAAAATTGAGGAGCCTCAGCTCAGGTAGAGTAAATTTACAGCTATTTTCTGTAAATACTTGATATAAATGTGTTTTAGAAATTTTTATAAGCATTTTCATTAATCTGTATCTGCTAAGGTTTGCCATTCATCTTCACTTTTAATGCATTAAATATATTTTTATTTAATGTACAATATATGACTTAATAAATTCAACTCAATAAATGACCTAATCCCTAAATTTGTTAGAGAGTTTGATATGTGAAAAGCATCTGAATGCTTGTTCCAGCATTTTGTTTACATAAAAGGTAGCAAACTGATAGTTCAGGGGATATTTTTCATTTAGGAACAAAGTGGCAGAGTGGTTTTGAAACTTTCTGAATCTGAATCCTTTAGACAGAACATGTAAACTTCAGAGTCCATATCATTCCTTGCTGTCTTAAACCTAGCAGCTTTGAGGCGCCTGGGTGGCTCAGTGGGTTATGTGTCTGACTCTTAATTTTGGCGTAGGTCACGATCCCAGGATAGTGGGATCAAGCCCTGCACTGGACTCCATGCTGAGCGTGGAGCCTGCTTAAGATTCTCTCTCACCCTCACCCTCTGCTGCTCTCCCCAGCTCGCATGCTCTCCCTCAAAAAGAGTAAAAAAATAAATTTAAAAAACCTAGCTGCTTTATTCATTAAATTACCTGCTTGGATCTTGAAGTAATTTAAATTTCTTTGTAACCCCTATATACTTAAGAAAGGAGGTTTTTGTCTGTATTTATAAAGTCAACCTGGAGTGCTGGACAGTTATTAAAGAACAGAGTATTAATTATTCAGAAGCCAAATGTTTTACAGATAGCAATGATAAAACTTACAATCCTTCCATATAAGAAACCACTGTAAGTCAAACACCACCTACTAAAACATATAGCAAAGCTCTCAGAAAACTAGGGAAACTACCGCTACTGCCCAATTAAAAGGAGTCATACTAGATTTTCATCCCTCTCAGCTAGATCCAATTCTATCAGAGGAGCCTGCAAATTCCATCTCTAAACACGCGCGCGCGCGCACACACACACACACACACACACACACACACACACACACACACACACCCTACAATTGCTCCCAGTCCACTGTCACTGTCTTCAACGTTTATTTATTTTTGGGACAGAGAGAGACAGAGCATGAACGGGGGAGGGGCAGAGAGAGAGGGAGACACAGAATCGGAAACAGGCTCCAGGCTCTGAGCCATCAGCCCAGAGCCCGACACGGGGCTCGAACTCACGGACCGCGAGATCGTGACCTGGCTGAAGTCGGACGCTTAACCGACTGCGCCACCCAGGCGCCCCCACTGTCACTGTCTTAATTCAAGCCCCTCAATCACAGCTTGTGTAGACTGTGTCCAACAGGTTTCCTCACCTTCTGTCTAGTCTATTTTCTACCCAGAGCCTTCGTGATCTCCATGAGGCCTATCTATCCATGGTGTCCTACTATATCCTGTACCAACTAACTTGCAAATCTGAGGAGCAGCTTGCTTCTTGAATCTCTAGCATCTGCCTTAAAGATTTTCCTTTTCCCTATAACTAGACAGTGGCACACCCTCCCTTCCTGTTTGACTCCTGAATGATAACCTGTAAAAGAAATAAAATACTAAGTTCACAAAGAGGCAGTCCAATTTTTCTTTTTGTTGCGTTACTTAAACATACATTTCAAAAGCTACCATCTCTATGAAACATCTGTCTATAGTCCTAGAGAGCTAAAGAACTCTTTTTCTATCCTGACATAAATGTTTGTGCCTTTATTTATAATACAACACAGATGATAAAATAAAATGCCTGCCTCTTCTATGCCCCAAGACTCTGCACAGTAGGGGAAAGAACTCAGTTCATTTCTCTTTGTAACCCCATTGTCCTAAATCTGATCAACAAAAGTCATAAAATAAACACATAAGCCCCTGTAAATAAAACTGTTCTTTCAACCATATGCAGTACCTATTCTCTGGCAAATGTATACGAATATGACATCTTTATCAGTTCCAAGGTTTGCCTATAGTGAAGAGGCAAAATAAAGAAAAATTCGAGAACATTTACAGTTTCCAGATGAGATCAGAGACTAGGATGGAGTTCAGTAACTCAGGAATTGAGCCTGAAAGAAGTGGCAAGGTTTGGAGCAGCCTGAATGGGAAGCATCCAGAGTAAAAAACTTACTGCTTGAGTCTTCAATAACTGGAATTTCTTAAGTGAATCTGGCCAATAAGACTGTAGGGACGATCAAATACAGAAACAGGTTTAAACCCAAGTTCAGGTTTCTTTTGGTAGTTTCATGTGTGGCTGCAGGTGTGGGGGCTACAGATGCTTTTCCAGTACTAACATTCATACTACTATAGTTCCAATAATACACGAGCCTGTATCTGGGAGAGTTACAGTTCACTTAACTGTGTTTCCTATTAGCGTGGAAATTCATGATAGACATAAAACGAAAGCCATTCTAACACAGAATCTGCAAGACAGACCATAAAAGACCAACAGACAATAAATTAAGCTTTTAGGAGTCCATTATTTACATAAATAAATAAAATACTGGGATCTGCAGGCTGTTTTGAGGTCTCTTAATAAGTATGTCTCTACTCAAATAGATGAGAGGAGAATCTGGTCCTTCATGTTTGTTCACACAGACACTGCCTTACCTGCTCACACCAACTGAGTTTCAACCAGTTCCTGACATTGCTTACTTTCTCAATCACGATGCCTTAGCTAGGAACTCCAAAGTGGACTATGGCCTCAAATAGAGAGACTGCACTGACTACTGGTCAGCTGGCAGCAATTCATTCCTGACACTTCTCGACACCCTGACCAACAAAGGCTCTCAGTCTTTTTTGGTTTTGCCAGTGTTAGATAAAATACAACCAATCTCCCTATCCTTACCCTTTCACTCTCCCCAACCTCCAGTACTCCCCCACCAAATATAACAGGAAGGGAATATACTGTACTTAATTTCTGCTACACTGTAGTTCGTTATTTGATCTTGTTCCCCTTCTCTATACCTAATGTGATCCAGGTGTCCAACTACTCACCACCTACCTGCATCACAAGGATACAGATAACTAAACTCAAAACGCAGAGGACCAGGAGACCAGGAAGCTAGCTATAACAGCTCTGGGCAACTAGAACAAAAAGCACCTCAGGGGATTAGCTTTTCTCTCTTTAAAAAAAAAAAAAAAACTCACTCTACAGGTTGTTTCTAAATTTTCAGTATATTAAAAGCAGAAACTGTAGTACAGAGCACGGGAGTACAAAAAGATACCTGAGAGCGGCAATCACTGGCAAATAAATAGGAAAAATAAAAAGTGGTACCTCATATAAAGAATATAGCTATTTGGAAATATTTAATATAGGGGGAAAAAACTCCTTTAATAAGACTTGCAGGCACCACAGTAACACAAACCAATAAATACCATGCAGGTGACTCCAAAATTCATCAAATAATAAAAACAAAATTGAACTACATTCAGACATTTCCTACTATCTACTGGAGTTGATAAATGCCCATGTTATGTACCTGTATACAAGTTATATGCCAGACATCAAGTTAATCACTGAGGGTACAATGATAAACAAGGAGGACTAGGGATCTCTCAGAACCTACACCAAATCCTAAACATTATTTTTCTTTATTTCTTCCCATTATTCTTATACCAATATCTTAGTTTAACTGATACTGCATACCTAAAACTGTATCCATCTAGATTGTAAATTTGGGTTTCTAAAACCCATCAGACTACAGTATTTAAGACAATCTTTCTCTCAACGTGGATTCTTTCTCCTTGACTTACGCTTAACACGCGCTGCCCAACTGGTCCTTCCTACCTGCTTCATTCCTTGCCAATCCAAGTTCAATCACTGCTCTTACTTTAAAACTTCATAGGTTAAATACTCTTTGGGGCGCCTGGGTGGCTCAGTCGGTTGAGCGTCCGACTTCAGCTCGGGTCACGATCTCACGGACCGTGAGTTCGAGCCCCGTGTCGGGCTCTGGGCTGATGGCTCAGAGCCTGGAGCCTGCTTCCGATTCTGTGTCTCCCTCTCTCTCTGCCCCTCCCCCATTCATGCTCTGTTTCTGTCTCAAAAATAAACGTTAAAAAAAAAAAAAAAATTAAAAAAAATACTCTTTAATATCATATGCCAAAAACCATCACAGCCTGATCTTAATTTTAAAAGAAGAGCTCCAAAAATGACATTACTGCTCCTACCTCCTCAAAAATTTTTTTAAAATTTAAGTTTTTTATTTATTTAAGTCATCTCTATACCCAATGTGGGGCTTGAACTCATGACCCCAAGATCAAGTTGTGCGCTCTTCTGAGCCAGCCAGGCACACCACCCCCACCCCAAATTTTTTTTGAAGAGAAAAGAAAGAAAAGGGGAGTTATTCCCAAGGCTAATACTCATTTAAAAAAAATTTTTTTTAATGTTTTTATTTATTTTTGAGACACAGAGAGACAGAGCGTGAGCAGGGGAGGGGCAGAGAGGTAGGGAGACAGAATCTGAAGCAGGCTCCAGGCTCTGAGCTGTCAGCAGAGCCTGATGCGGGGCTTAAACTCATGGGACTTCAAGATCATGGCCTGAGCTGAAGTTGGACGCTCAACAGACTGAGCCACCTAGGTGCCCCAAGGCTAATAT